GTACGTGGAATACTATATTTTTTGAGAGTATATACGACACTACACATGTCACTATACCTGTATCTCTTTCTTCGTGTTCATTTTTAATCTGATCAGGTCTCTGCGGCACTTTTACCACCTTATCTACTTTGTCCAGGGTGCTTTTCGCCGCAGACAGTGGTTCAGTACCTCCCAGCGCCGACAGTTTGTGCAACCCGGTATATTGTGCATACACTACATATACAATCAATAGTATAAGACACCAAACCCACCACAGATTCCTAAAGACCCTTACATAATCAGCTAGACCAGCATTTTTTTGTTTATCTTTACTCTGTGTATTGTGCCTCCTGCTGGTTGCGAGTACATCCTCAGATTTACTGAACTTTTTATCTGACCTTGTAGGTCGTGGAGATACCTTTAGTTTGGGATTAGGTGGCATTATAATGAGCACTGTATGTTCCTGTCCATATCGGTCTCTCTTGTATTGGCAGCCTTCGTTGAGTTTTATATATATCTATACCATGAAGCTATGTGTAGACCTATCGATAAGTATATTTAGATACAGGGTATTCACAGCTATCACATACAAGAGGCATAGGCTATAAACAAGAGAATACATCTTTTTATTTATTTATGTTGTATATAAAATATTACATTATATCCCGCGCTTTTTAGATTTCCTTATATGCCCCACTCTGGAGTCTGAGACAGTCTAACAAAGCCCCTGGTAAAAGACAACGTCATGTCTCCTAATAAACGACAAACCTACTTTTACGACAGGAATTCTTGTATGTCGTTTTCACCGGTTGAGCCTGATATTTGAGGTATAGAAAACGACGTATTGCCTCGACTTGACTTTGTATTAAACTATTTAAAACAATAAGCTCAGCACGTCTTCTGTTTGTTACTGACGTTTTCAATTTTTGTTTTTCAAAAAACAAAAAGGTTCGCACAGTACCTATTAGTTTGTTTTTTGTTTTTTGTTTGGAGAGCAAAAAATTAAAATGATCAACAAAAAGCAAAAAAAAGAAATTTTGCAGACAGTGCGTGCCCTGTTGACTGCCTTCACTTCATCAGACTCCTTCAGCTGTCAACAGTTCAACACTCAACTGTCACGAGAGTGTCCGCAACTCCACTGTCTCCACACAGTCACACAGACACGTTAGAAGTGAGACTGTGAGGGACTAAGTCTCTCTATGATACTACGTAAATATAGTAGAGAGTAAATAGAGAGAGAGAGTAGTCAGTAGACTGCTGAGAGCCTGAGACTGTGGGTCTTGAGAGTTGAGAGCTGAGAGCTGAGACTTCTAAATAGAGACTTAGAGAGACTCTCTCGTACTCACTACTAGCCCCTACTACTCTAACAGTCGCTAGAGTGGCCAGTCCTTTTTCAATATAAGAAAGAGGAAACAAATCTGGGACATTATTTATCAGAAAAGTCGCATCGAGTAAAGAAATACTCCTCCCAATGGATTCTACCAAATCAACATTCTATGTGCTTTCAAACTTTAGGGGGCATGTGCAATGCAATTTTCTGTTTGTATGTACCTCTACCTCGCTACAGCGTGCGTAAAAATAAAACGTAAACTCGTAGACTTAAAAATATAATTTGTAAAAGTTGGGCGAACAACATGCGAATATGACCGTTTAAAAAACATAAAGCCTTTTGAGGATAAATATGGACATGTTTACATGAATAGCATGAATAGGTATATTGAAAAAACACATAAATATTTATATACAATTATACATGTATATAGGTACATATATACGTATCTATATTATATGTTTTTTTGCATGATTTAATGACTACGCAAACCCTAACCATATTTATAAACAAAAAATATGGATCATCAGTTCGACAAGCACCATTCTAAGAATAATTAAAGTATCGGGTCGACTTTGACTTTCGCATCATCTCTAAAGCTCTTTCAAATATTGCTGGCTGGCTTAGTATACTTAAATTCTTATGCAGTATTTTATTTTGACCGCTGATTATCGCAATTAATAAAGATTCCGCACGAAATATGGATTATGCTGTCCATATTGCTACGTATCCGTGCTAAGTATCCATATTCTCTAAATTGCTTTCTCATGATTATTGGTATATTTACGTTTTTATATGATGCTATCACTACCATCTGGGACCGATATATATTCTGAGAACGCCTATGTCAGTCGAGATAGTTACGATCAGAAGAAAGTTTGCGTTGGTGCCGAGTTATTAGAGGTCGTTCCCATGTTTCCCATATAGCTCGAAGGCGCAGCAGCTGCCGTGGCACTCGCACTCATAATCAGTGCAGCCGCATCCGTCGTAGAAACACTTGCTGCCAATCCCTCGGCTCGCTTATTGTGCGTTTTGATATGATAATCTAGACTGGCCTGGGTGCTGAAGCACTTTTTACACTTATCCCAAGCACACCTATACGGCTTATCCCCAGTGTGTGTGCGCATGTGGACGTTGAGGTTACCTTTGGTGATGAATCGCTTCATGCAGTTCCTCCAGGTACAGGCAAAAGGGTGATCGCCCGTGTGTGTGCGAATATGGTAATCCATTGTCGCGTGAGTAGTGAATTTCTTATCACAGCCGGCCTCTGGACATTCGTAGGGTTTGTTACCCGCATGTCTCCGCAAGTGAGTGTTGAGGTTTCCTTTGTGCTGGAATCTCTTTGTACAACCCTCCCAGGTGCACTGATGCGGTTTCTCGCCACTATGTGTGCGTAGATGACTATTCAAGTTTCCCCTGTGCAGAAATCGTTTCTCACAACCCTCCCAGGTGCACACGTATCTCTTATCCTGCGTATGTGTACGTATATGTATATTCAAGGACCCCTTGTGATTAAACTTCTTATCGCATCCTGGTATCGGACATTCATGCGGAAAATCCTTGCTGTGAGTATCGCGGTGTGCTTCCATATCTGCTTTTCGTATGAAAGTCTTCCTGCACCCTGGATGCGTACACTTCGTGATGTTGTTCGCGTTCGTGTCCGCATAACTACTGTGCTCAAACATATGCTGATTGTACTGTTCGATAGTTGCAAACTTTTTCTGACAACCCTGCTCCCAAGTACATGTAAACGGATCGCTACCTTCTCCATTCTCAGTCTTTGCCTGCTCGGAAAGTGCAGCTTGTGCGCCAGTATGCACAATCGAATGACTCTGCAGGGCAGCTTGCGACATAAATACTTGTCCACATTTTTCCCACAAGCACGGAAAGGTTGTCTGACCGGAAACCGGCACAGGCACACTCAACGGCCTGGCCTGCTGCTGCACCTGCACTTGCGGTTGATGCCATACATGGGCCTGGGCCTGGGCCTGAGCCGGGGTGGCCTGGGGATGCGCCTGCATAGGTGGAGCAACATACATCCCGTCACTGTACCCCCCTCCTCTGTAAAAGTCGTGAGGTACCGATGCATGGGCATATGCGGCGCCAGTAGGGTCTGGTACAATCGCCGGTTGTGCATACGTCGACGCACCAATGTGCTGTTGAGTACTAGACTGTCTCTGTGTAGAGGGTTGCTGCTGAAAGCGATGTTGTTGTGGTTGGTGTGGTAGCTGCTGTGGCTGTTTATATTGCTGCTGCTGCTGTTGGCGCTGTTGTCTCTGTCGCTCTTGTTCATGAAAAAAGTTGTGATCATTCAGTTCCTGCACTTTGCTGAACATAGCACCACACCGACCCCACTGACAATAGTACATGGGCGTGTTCGCCGTCATACCGATCGGTAATGGGCCTTGTACAGCCATCGTTGCACTATTACTTGTATACCCCTGTGTAATTTGATCGATGGTATTGACCTTTCCCATAACATGTGAGCCATCCACCGCGATATTCTGCATTCCCACCTGACTTTGTACTTGCGTACCAGCTGGTGCTTGTACTTGGGCGTGTGTTTGCCCTGGCACAGGCGTGACGTGCCCTGAACCGGACATCATAGTCTGTGTGGGTGTTCCTACCATGGTAGACTGTGCGGCTGGTATGGAATACGCTGCCTGTCTCGGTGTTTGAGATTGCATAATACTTTTACTTTGCATCAAATAATGTGGGGACTAAATTCTGATGTGATGTCTATAAGATGCATCTGGATCGCTTCGCTTAAATTTTTTTTTTAAACTCCACCTTACAGCGCAAGGTTTCTCCTTTGATACAAACCGTCGACAGATATTACTAGAATTGCCTTGAGATGGTATTGAGGGCTAATGCGCCTATTTTCTCAGAAAACTGTCCGACTGCATGCAATGACGCGTATATACAAGCCTAACGCAATTTATGATGTGATGCATGTATGGTCTATAAACAACACCGTCTTTTACCGTACTGCAAGTCTATGCGATGCTGAATGCATTGAGGAGCTTACTATACCAGTGGATGTTATGAGTCTCGAGGCGATCGCACTGTCTATGTAAGCGATTTTAGCCGTGAACCCTAATCCCGAAGCACAAAGTAGTACACATGCACTTCAATCTTCCGGGCAATATTCAGAGCGTCTGGTAATCCCGTACTAAGCTTGTCGTCATTGGTCGAGCACATAAAATAAAATCATTTTTATGGAGCAAGTTATTTCAGAAATAATAAGCAACAAAAATGAAATCCTAATTACCACACAAATATCGTAAATTACGTTAGAAAATCACGCGATTTATTATTTTATAGCCGTGTCTGTGGGAGATGCCTGAAAATTAAGTATACGAGGGCGGTCAGCGGTGTTGTAAAGTGTCTTAAATTTAAAATTAAACTGGGTTTATATTTAGAATATTATTACGAGGTTCGTAAAACAAGGTTCTTTTGTTTTACATTGTAAAATTAAAAAATAAATTTAAAGACCCATAGTCTACTGAAAATTGAACAGATGTTTTATAAAAAACAAAAATTGAAAAAGGCAACAGGCCGGCTACCGACTTATAAATACCCCGGTAAATACTCTATTTAGTAAACTCTCTCTCAACACCCTATTTTAAAATATAAACTTTATAGTTTATAGAGAGAGAGAGTGAGAGATCAGAGAGAGAGTGTGTGTGAGAGAGAGATAGAGAGATCGGAGAGAGAGAGAGAGAGAGAAAGAGAGGAGAAAGGTAGGCCTGCCCATCGCCGGGTTGTCCAATGCCCCTTGCGGCATTGCACAAGCACTCTGAGTCTCTGATGAGTCTCTGACTCAACAAGAAGTAAATGTGCGAAAACTTGTTAAAGTATGCGGTGTGCGCATCTCGTTGGCAAGCAAAATTATTTTGCTTGAATTTCGAGATCACACTCTGAGACTCAGAGTCAGGAGTCGAGTCTCAGCCTGGACTCTGGGGGTCTCTCAGGCTCTCCAGGCTACATAGGCCTCAGGGCTCAGGGCTCAGGCCCTCATGTCAGGCCTAGGCGCCTAGTCTCTCACCTACAGTCTGTTACGACCCAAAAGGGCAAATGTAAAAGCTGGTAAAAGACAAAGGACCAATAAGCACTCGATTTAAAAAAAGAAAAAGAATAATATAAAAAAGGAATTTCAACAATCCCCCCTTCTGGGCCGTCTCTCTCTCTATTTATTGTTGTAGTTCAGAAAGAGAATCTAATAAATAGATATCGAGAGAGCGACAAAGCTAACAAATAAAAATATTGCCGGATTCGGACTTGTACAATGTTTTTTAAAATGTCATACTACATAGTGTTATGCAGAATTTTTTTTCATACACGCATGAATGTTATTTTTCAAAATATCTACAAGGTGCAAACCGCGATAAAGCGCTTCGTTTATGCCGTAGTACTGGAATCAAACATTAGAGGAATACATCGGACAATCACAGCCCTCTGAATTATACACAGGGTATGAATGTGTGCGGCAAATCTTTTTTTAATATGTGAAGTTGACACCACCCCATCGGCGGGAATTCAGCCTGATATATTTACAAGAAATTTGTATGCGTAGCATCATTCGAAAATTAACTCGTATCAGATTCGCATTTCACCTCTCCAATAGACATGTAAAAATGTAAATGCTCTCCAATAGACATGTAAAAATGTAAATGTTTGTGACTAGGTTAGAACTTCATGTACAATTAGAATTATGGACAAACGAAAGTCGCCAGTTTAAATGTATCTAACATACATTCAAAGCATAGCATTGTTTGATAATATAAATGTATTCATCAATTCATTCAAGAGGTATTTGTTTCAATGAATACTAATGCTAACTTGGGCATACAATTTAAAAGAATACATGGGAGGAGATGTTCAGCCCTATTCCATGCAGAAGCAAATTTATAACTATTCATGTGTATCTAGCCAATTATTTTAAGAGGTACTTTCAATAAATCCTAATTTGGGCATACATGTAATAATTAATGGGAACAAGAGTGGAGTCCTATATTTAAAATTGATTTATGGACAAATGAAGTTAACAGTATATGTGTATCTAGAATACATTCAGGCATAGAATTCTTGTCCAATAAATACTATTCTGAGTATGCAAAAAAACAGTAGCGTGGACTAGTTGGTCCATCAAACAGAATTAATGGCCACATATCATGTTGATATTGGTTCGCTTTTGACTGTTGTGGTCGCCGACGAAATATCACACAAACTTTGAAGTAACCAGTTACTATTTTACCTGCTATGCACTCACACGTACATATACATACACGCAAATAAACACACACACACACACACACACACACACACACACACACACACACACACACACACACTATATATATATATATATATATATATATCGNATATATTATATTACTATACATACATACATAACTAACTA